AGGCTCACACTTCTCTCCGGGCACCAGAGAGAAGGAAATGTCTGTCCCTTCCTGAAAGACGAACCCATCTACATGGCTTATGGGTCCCAGAAACCCACACTGCATGTGGGACCTCGCTCTATTAATCTAATCTAACGGTTCCAAACTTGAAACTCATCAGAAATTGGTAAGCATGGAAATCCAAAAAGACGGACCCACGCTGGTATTAATGGCAGCACAATTTAAAATGCAAAAGTGTCCAAGCAGCAAGAGTGCCAATAATACAATTACAGAAACCGTTATACACTCACAGTGTAACACAGGGTAAGTGGGAGAAAGGGATGGTGTGAGTTACTATGGAATGGAAGAGATAGGTGTTTCTGATACACTGAGGTACATACAAAAATCTGGACAGCTGTAACATGTTTTCATTAAAAGCGTGTACACACATATCTACTAGCAATCTATACTGGTAGAAACATGACTTAAGAAATAATGGCCAATTTTAACACTTGTTATCCCTTGATTATTGGATAAAGGGTATCTTTACTCTTTGTGTCTCTGTACTATTTCAATCTTTGTAAGAAGTGTGTATTGTGTAAAAAGGATAAAAAGCCGGTAATACAGTCTCCCTTCACCTTGCAGCCTTTTCTCATAATCACCTGACTTTTCCTTCCTCTGAAAGTCGGGTTTTGACGGAATATTCTATCCGTCGTCACTGCCCCTGCTGGAACGTGCACCTGCCAGTCTGGCTTCCCCCCTCGCACTCCACTCGATTCTGCTTCTTCAGTCACCACTGGCCGGTCTTTTCTAGTCCTTTCTTACACGGGTTCTTGGATGCATTTAACAAAAATGAAGACTTCATGCAACCCTCCTCCTTAATCCTGACCTCCCCATCCCAGGGCCCCTCCCGCTTCTGGGGGTGCTCTTCCTCCTCTCTTGACTTTGATATGTCACCTGTCATGTCTCCACATCTCAATGCTGTTCAGCCACGCGGCCTGCTCCACACAAGTAACGCAACTCCATCCACGAGTGTGCTACCAACCGAGAGCCTCAAAACTCCCGTATCTCCAATCCAAGCTGGCAGCTGCTTGTTTTTTTTACATTGTCCATAGGACATTCTACAAGCAAAATAAACCCAACACACAGAAAACAGAACTCATTGCCTTCTTTACATTCATGTTCAACTCAGCAGATTAAACGCCAAGAGATTCGGGGTCAGTGACAGCAGCAGCTGCGGGTAGGCACGATAGGCCTGCTGACCCCTGGACCAATCACTCACTTCAGGGCGCAAGCCCTCGGCCACCTTCCGGGCAGGGACATCGGCTCTTGCAGCCGTGAAGGGACCTGGGGACGAGCATTCCTAAGAAGCACCTCAAGTGATTCTGACGAAAGCAAGCCCTGGACCTGGTTTCGCAAAAACACAGCTGCTGAGTCACAGAATGAAATTCTAAGTCCTTAGCGTGTCCTCCAAGGTTCTTCGTGATCTGACCCCCAACTGCCCGACCAGACCCATTTTCAATACAAAAGAGTAGAAATGTTAGCATTCCAAACTGATTAGCAGTTTACCAGCTGACTTGTCAGGAGAGCTCTACATATGAAGGTCTTCATTAGCCTACTCCCGTCTTGAAAGTAGAAAGGAAGGTCAGTTCTCTAGACAGAAGAGGGCAGTGGTGTGGAACATGTTTGATCAGACACTTGAGGCAACGTCACATGTTCCATGC